ATCAGTAAAGAGCAAACACGGGATTAAAATCTCGGCTCTGCTTCTTAATGGAGTTGGACCCTTGAGTGTTTAAATTCTTTGGGACTGTCTCTTCATCTATAAAATGAAGACAAGAGCATCTCCTTTGTGAGGCCATGGTCCTTAGGAATGAGGACCAGGCCAATACCAGCACAGAGCCTAGCGCACAGTCGGTGTAAATACTCGAATTATTGACAATTATCATTCCCAAACTGCTAGAAATGGAGGAACACTGCCAGGGGAGGCGACGTAGGAACTTCTGACATTACTATTAACTCCCTGTGCTCTCTCACGCGTAAATGAGGAAAAAACACCTTGGGGCCGTATTAGGAAAGAATTTCTTGAAGTCCCTTCTATCTCAAAGATCTAAGATCCGATAGCTAAGGCCTTTTTTTAAACCCCTGCTTTAATCTAGAAAAAAGACTCCCAGGGTCAACCAAGAATTTCTAGGTTATGACTCAATACCAGAAAAGGTTTTTAGGTCCCACGCTGATGCTACACTACACCAGTAGCTTACCTCATTCGAAAAGGTGCGAACGTCAAAAAAAGCGATAATGGAACCATATTCACTGGACATCATGCACACGGAGAGTGTGAGGTTATCACAGCTCAGGGCTAAGTGATGTATCGGGAATTTCATAGGCACCAGTAAGCTTTGAACTTTATCAACTAAGAAAAGATTAAAAAAAAAAAAAAAACTAAGCAGAAGCAGAAGCCACAGCCCCTTTATCAGGTCTCTGTAAACACTTTTCACATCTATGTAAACACACAAGCACAATTCGATGCCTGGTCACGCAGGTGAAACTTAGCTTCCTGACAGATGTAAGACAATGCAGTAAATATCCCAGATCCTCCCTCCCATGGCCTAGGGAAACGAACTGTGGCTGTTGCCCTTGTTAAAAACAAGGTCCTTGGGGCCCCTGGGGGGCTCAGTCAGTTACGTGTTCGACTTTGTCTCAGGTCACGATCTCGCAGTTTGTGGGTTCGAGCCCCGCGCTAGGTTCTGTGCTGATAGCTCAGAGCCTGAAGCCAGTTTCAAATCTGTGTCTCCCTCTCTCTCTGCCCCTCCCCTGCTCATGCTCTGTCTCTCTCTGTCCCAAAAATAAATAAACAAGAAAAAAATTAAAATAAAAACAAACAAACCAAGGTCCTATACCCATACTTTTGCAACAGTGCTCCAAACACTACATCTTCCTATTTGTTCGGATGGTACTACTGTGCCTATTTAGAAAGCCACATAATAAAACCCTTCTCCAGAGCCAGAACCCAAGTTCAACTAAGCAAAAATAAAAGCATGGCAGAATGGTAAATTCTTCTGGCCTCTGAGCTCAGAGGAGCGACTCCCTAAAAGAGAAATCCAAAGGACCAAAGAGAACCACAAAGGTTTCCTGCCTAGAACAACTTCTTCTTGAGGGGGTCGGCCTGAAGACTAACAGCCGTTGTGACTGTAATACCAGAATGATTTCTTGGGAAGGAAGCTACCTCACTATCCCCCCCCTTTCTATGACACAACAAAGAATAAGAAACTTACCTATCTTATTGGGATCGTCACCAGGTTTATTTTGAATGAGAAGATTTTTGGTGGGAAAAATCTGCAGCCCACTGGCTCCACCAGCAAAGACCAGGCCATACTTGTTGGACACGGCTAGCAGACTCAAGCGCTCCTTGGGCAACTCCTCGGGGGAGTCAAAGATTCTCACCTTCTTCAGGGCTCGAAACTGAAAATCCTGTTGTGAAGGATGAAACCAAGATCAATTCAGGGGAGAAAGATATCCCACTATACTCCAACAGCGCTAATTCCAGCACAACCTAGCGGTATGTGGTCCCTGGCATAGCTTATCAATGTTTACTGAATGGAAAAAAGTTTTAAACTCTTTCATGAAGCCTTCCTTAACTACCCAACTCTCACGCTGATCTTTTCCTTCGCTGAACTTGTTTCCTGTCCGAACCACCACAGGTGTGCACTTGATTATTCATAATCTCGTCCTGCTTCCTGGCAGGAACTGTCCCAAGACCCAGTGCTTAGTAAACTGCTGTGAAGTATCGAAAGCATCGCCCAACTGCGCTGTTCACCAGAACCGCTGGTGCAACTAGGCAAACATAGCCACGGAAGTAATGACCATGGAAAAGGATGGGTAATGGTCGACCTCTTAACATGCAAGACCTGTGAATGTACCTAGCTGTCAGGAGGGCACCCAAACACAAGTCCAAAGCCCTTAACACAGGCTGTGAGGCCAGGCCTGGCCCATCTGCCGCTGCAGCCTCCACGTGACTCCCCCAGTGCGCCATGACTTGTACAAGACCCATGGCCACCTCTGCCCTCCACCAATTCCGTTTCGGGCCATCTGCATGCTCCCTAGCACTCCAGGGCCTGGGAGCCTTCCCCAACCTCCTGCCGATGCCTGGCTCACCCAGTCTTCCACAGACTGACTGACATGCCTTCAATGACAATTTTCAGTGGGCACCACCCCCCGGTACGGATTCCGTGGGTTTACCAATCACTGTGAAGTTCTACCAGATATGCTACTTTTTTTCTTAAACTCCAGATCCAACTGAAGTCGAAGCTTTGGTAAAAAGACCAGGAACCCCCTTTTGCTTATGTTCCTAAAGGGTAAAAAGCCGAAGACAGCCTTTCTCCGCTTTCATTTTTGGACACTTATGGTGTTTTGTACAGGATCCCTAACACGCTCCGCATACGAGTTTCCTTAGATTTGTGTTTATGCGTAGGTGCTAAAAGACTCATGGAAATACTCTTAATTCCAAATGAGTCTGCGTCCAGAAAAATCACAGCTTTCCAGATGAGGTGAACTTTTCAGTATTTTCGTAATTCTCATCCTGAGAATCCTAAAACTCCTAGTTGAGGCATGGTCAGGCGGGTGTGGAGAGCCCACACAGGAAGGCTTTCCTTCTGGTATAATCAGTAACTCCGAGGGATCCTCTCCTAAGTCTGTAGTTGTGAAACCTATTTTTCCTTCTGGCCCAGCATAGCTGCGAAATCAGCAAGCTCTCGCTGGGTGGCTCCCCTGCGCCCTCTCGCCCCCGCGACATTCGCGGGGGGTGGGGGGATTCACTCCTCTACACACGCGGTGGGTTACCACTCCCTAAACGCATTTCAGTGGCCTCGTCGATCGCCTAAAAGCTTCCTGCAACTTACTTACAACCGTCATTTGGATCACACGCCCCTCTTCAGTTTCCTGACTTTACGCTGATTTCCAGTACCAAAATAACCCTTCCGTGTCGCCACAGGGTTTGTGGAAGAGGGGCTGAACGCCGGCTCTGCGTGAAGCAAGCCGGCACCACTTCACCAAAGGAGCGCAGTGCAAGTGAAGAGAGGGTCTTAAAAAATAAACAACAAAAACAACCACCCAGACTTCAGCCCCTCGGTCAAATGCTGACTCTGGGTAAGTTCCTTCCCCAGTCTCCATGTGCTTCTTTTTATTCACAACTACGCGTGGGGTTGCCGCGCCGATTATTAATTACCACGGTGTCCGGCACACAGCGCACGCTCAATAAACAGCAGTTATTACCACGACTCTGACCACCCCCATGAAAGTGACTAGGAAGTCACTAGGGTAACTCAAGTGGCGCGCACAACTCCAACGAGGGACGGGAAAATGGATTCGGTGGGGCTATCACGCCGGTGGCACGGCCGCCTGCTCCAGGAGAGCTGGGACCGCGGTAACACGTTCAAGCGCGAGGCGGGAAGCGGGAGAGCCGGACCCCGCGCTTCGGCGTTCAGCGGGGCTCCAGGGCGTCGCCGGGACTCAGGAAGGGAGGGAGGCCCCGGCCAGTCTCTGACCTTCATCTCCCGCTCGGGAATCATCGTATCCATCTCGTCTCCCATCGCGCCACCCCTCTGTTGGTCCAAGCAGCCGCCGCTGCCGCCCGCGGCCTTGCCCTCACAACCCAGGCCGCTCCGAGGCCAACTTCCTTCCCTCACGGCGCGCTGCGCTCCGCAGACTCCGCACTTCCGGCGCGCTTTGGTGACGTCACCAGGCCGCGGTGTGTCCGAGGAGACTGAAGACCTTCCGAAGTCGCGCGCTCTACTGGCCGCCGTCTCCTATTGGCCGACGAGGAGGGCGTGGCCCCAGGGCCGACGCGCCTGCGCCCTGAAAGCACCCAGGTCCCGCCCCCGGCGTCGAGAGTGTAGCGGGCTGTGCCTTTGAGTCTCTGCGGTTGCGAGGCGCTAGCTCGAGCTCCCTTGCTCCCTGTGCCGCTGAGAGCTCACAGTGACGCTGGGGTGTAGGTGGTTACTAACGGTCCCCGAGTGAGAGGAGTTAGGAACCTGACAAACGTTTCCAGGGGGCAGTTCTTGAGAGAGCCTTTGGCGTGGAGGAAAAGAGGTTCGGAAAGTGGGTGGGCGGGGCCGCGGAGGACTCTTCCGGCCGAAACGAGGGGGGGGGGGAAGGGCACCAAAGATCAGCTTTGCGCCTTTCAGGGTAATCATTTCCCGAGCAAGGGCTTGGAAACTGCGCAAAAACTCTTTGGATGTGTTATTTAACGTCCAACACATCCTAGTCACCGAGGGGTGTATTGTTGCCATGTAATCTATGAGAAGTTTAGGAAATCCCCCAGTGCCCCTCAGAAAGCGGTGAAGGCAGGATTCGAATTCAGCTTGTCCGGATATGTCGATTGATGACTATTACACCGTCCTACGTACGGCTGTTTGTTTTGGAATTATAAATGACATTCTTAATCTGGAGCCTAGGGGATAACTCCGGGGTTAGGGCTGTCATTTTCTGCCGCTTTACTGTTTGGTTTTCGGCAAGATTGTTTATCTTCTCCAAGGCTGCTTCTCATTTTAAAAACAAGGATAACATAACAGACCTTGTCTCGTGGAGCTGTTGCGAGGAGTAAATAAAGTTCGGCATTTAACAAGAGCCGGGCACACAGGTCACATCCATTCGAGCTGTTACTATATTAGCTAGCTCCTGAATTTGCTGAGCCCAGCTGTCCCCAAAATACACAAATCAAGACATTGATAAGTTTATCTGTTTTATTTCTAGTCCGTGGAGATGACATCCAGCACCACACACACTTACATGCGTACACGCACACACGCACACACGCACACACCATCCACCTGAACTTGCCCGGCAATCTCCTCCTTTTGAGTCACAGGGACAAAGCCACACCTGGCAGTCCCCAAGTTGCTGGTTGCATTAGTTAGATTTGGTCTTTCAGAAAAAAGACAGCTGAAGTTCTAAGAAGCTGAGCTCTTAGCCAGAAAAGTAAGTTCTAGAGCCAATAGCCACAATCTGAAATACAAACACACACCCCCTGTCCAGGGACCACTTTTGAACACTTTGTTGGAACTGGTGGTGTTTCCCAGGATGCTCCCCACCCAATGAGAGAACTTTCTTTCCTGCCCTTTCCAGAAGCTGGGGACACACCTACTCGCTTCCCTCCCTTAAAGGCGAGTAAACTGTGGAACCTACTAAATAGTAAGCCTGATTACTTCTGCTCTCCTCTCTTTAGCCAAGAACAGTTACACAGACTATAATGGGTATTATCTTGCTCAAAGGTCTCAGCCTGTCCCAGAGAAGAGAGGCCAGTGGGGAGGGTTGGGGACAGGCAGTGGTTCATCCAGTGATCTCTGGGGTGGGGGTGGGGGTGGGAGGGCAGAGGAGGTGTTGGTGAGTGAGATTTTACATTTGCAGAGAGAACTGTTTTGCTGGGGTTTAAACTTCAACTAGGCTTGTGCATTTGAGGCAGCTCCTTAGGCTGAAGATCAGCCAGTCATGGCCAAATAATCTTGCTCCTGAACTGGTTGAGACCAGTGGATTAACCCAACCGGGCATTTCCCCATCCCCTACCTGCTCCCCCCCACCCCAGGCTGCTCAAGGGCAGCTCCTTGGGCCCTGACTGTGGATCACTAAGGAGCTGCAGGGAGCCCACATTGGCTCCCACCTCCAACAGCACCCAGACATTTCCACTTAAGGATTGGTGGGGACTTCTCCAAGACCCTCGTTCAGTCTTGGGCCCAGGATTGCAGTGTAGTCCCTGAATAGTCCCCTCTTTCTTCACATTCACCTCACTGGTCGTTGTCTGGGGAGGTGTCCATTCTAGGAGTCTGTCCATTTCACATCTGGTTTCTTAGCTCTTGGCCCATAGCAGGTGTTTAATAGAGATGTTCAATGGATGGACCCATCTAAGTCCTGCGTGGGTGGTATAAGGGACTCCAGAACAGATCGGGTCGAGGCTGGGGTCCCTGCTCAGCCAAGATGGGGCTGAGTGTGACACTTCCCTGCATGAGTTCTGAGAAATGGCTTGGCAGAGTAGCTCTAGGGAAGGCAGAACTGCAGAGTGGCCTGGCGCTCACCCAAACCCTGCTGTTGACCTGGAGGCACTGGAGAGGGTGAGTCCTGGCCCAGGTCCTTCCTCAATTGTTGACCTAGATTTCCCCTCCCTGCACCTTCTCTTGTTTGCCCCACTGAGTGAGACAGCCCATAGCAGAGATGAGGCATTGGGCACAGCCTCTGAACACCTGAGTTCCAGTCCAGACTTCCGTCTCCCGGTCAACCCCTTGGCAAGGCACTTAATCCCTGTGAGCACCACAGTTTTCTCGCCTGTGAAATGAGAGGTCTGCTCCGGCTAACCTACAGAGCGGATCAGGGCTCTAAAACCCTGGGTGTCCATCATAAGGGACCCCGATCCAATCCCCAAGCTCAAGGTTTTGGGATGGTGAAGTGGATTAGAAGACAGGCATGTGTCAGGACAAAGTGGGGAGGCTTAAAGCTTATAATAGGTGGTCAATAAATATCTGTTGAATGACTACGTGAGGGCATGAATGAATGAGTGAATGAATGAATGAATGGTGTGGGTAAGGCGGTAAGGAGAACACAGTCAGGTTTCAAGCAGATTGGGATCAGAAAGGCAACCTTCAATTTCTCAGCTCTTGGCTTTCTAGTGGGGCTGACTTTTCGCCATGCACACTCTATTCCTCCTTTTCCCATCCTGCTGCTCTCAGCATCCTCCCCAAAAAGTGACATCAGACTGAACTGACACCCCTCCTGAGGCCCCTCGCCTCCCTTCTACCCCCAAAGCCCTCTGCTGCCCCAGCAAAGGAGAAGGACAAGCAAAGACTGCACTTTCCTTCTGAGCTGCCTGTAAAGGCAGGGCTGCAGGCAAGGCCTGAGGATTCCTTCTGGAACCTTCTGGAAGGGCTCAGATTGCCAAGCCCCTCTCTCCTGCTCTCCCTTCTGTCACCTTCCTGAGGAGGAGTGTGGACTAAGGCGGTGATGGATCAGCTGGGGAGATGGGACACTGAGTGGCCACGCCCTAGACAACTTAAGAGCTCAGAGCCACGGAGCTGTCTGAAGAAACCCTTGTTCCTACTCTAGGGTCTTCTGAGAGTGGGCTGTGGTCCTCACCAGGGTCAGGCCAGCAAGCCTGGACTTAGCTCCAAGACCCTGGAAGGATGGGCTACGCCAACTCCAAACATAAGGACCACAGCCTTCCCGCCCTGGCCCTGCCCCCTCCACGTTATGGTTTGACGTCAGCCCTTCTGCACAGGGAACGGGGAAGGAGGGAAGAACAGAGAGGGCACGAAGGCTCAGAACTCCCCGACCCAGAGCCCCTTTAAGGCAGATAAGTTGTGCTTTGCAAAGGGATCACCGGTTCTGCTGATTAAAAAATAAACAGACGCACAACGACCACGCAAAACAAAGAAGACAAATCACAATGAGTCAAGAAGGGCGGCAAGATCGGGGGCGGGGGGGGGGGACGGGGGCAGGTCCGGACGGGGGTCCTCAGGGCAGGCTGGCAATGTCTCTCTCTGGAGGGGGACCAGCTGGCTTGGGGCTGCTCTCGTTGGCTTTTCCTTCAAACATCATGACTCTGGTTTGGAGATGGAGAGAAAACAAACAGGATTAGGATTCCTTCCCTCATCCAGGGAAAGATCATCCCAGCCCTCAAGTCTGCAGGATCCTCAATATCCATTTTCCTTGCATCTATTCTCAAGTGGGACCTTCTCTAAGGGGCTGCTAGCCTCTTTTCACAGAAGAGAAAACCGAGGTGCAGAGATCTCTGTATTCTAAGCCACGCGTCTTCCCCTAAACACGCTGCCTGAAGAAGGCAGAGCGAGGCTGGGCCATGGCACGGCTCACAACCCCTTCAGATCTTCAAAAAACCTCCCAAGCCTTTAGGGATAACATCTAGGAGGGGCACCTGAGTGGCTCAGTCGTTTAAGCATCCAATTTTGGCTCAGGTCATGATCTCGCGGTTCATGAGTTCAAGCCCTGAGTCTGGATCCTGTTTCAGATTCTGTGTGTGTGTGTGTCTCTCGGCCCCTCCCCTGCTCATGGCTTTGTCTGTCTGTGTCTCTCTCTTTCTCAAAAATAAATAAATTTTTTTTTTAATATTTTTTTTTTATTTATTTCTAGGAGAGAGAGACCGCGTAAGCAGGGGAGGGTCAGAGAGAGAGGGAGAGCCACAGACTGTGAAACAGGCTCCAGGCTCTGAGCTGGCAGTCAGCACAGAGCCCGACGCGGGGCTCGAACCCACACACCGCGAGATCATGACCCAAGCGAAAGTCGGACGCTTAACCGACTAAGCCACCCAGGCGCCCCCAAAATAAATAAATTTTTTAAATTAAAAAACATAGTAGGGGCGCCTGGGTGGCTTAGTCGGTTAAGCGTCCGACTTTCGCTTGGGTCATGATCTCGCAGTGTGTGGGTTCGAGCCCCGCGTCGGGCTCTGTGCTGACTGCCAGCTCAGAGCCTGGAGCCTGTTTCACAGTCTGTGGCTCTCCCTCTCTCTCTGACCCTCCCCTGCTCATGCGGTCTCTCTCTCTCTCTCTCTCCTAGAAATAAATAGAAAACATTAAAAAACAACAACAACAAAAATTTAAATAAATAAATAAATAAATAAGTAAGTAAATAAATAAATAAACTAGTAACATCGAGGAAGGAGAGGGTAGGGGTTCTGAATGTAGCCTCTGGACGGGAACAGCCTGATTGGAATCCCAGCCCTATTACTACCCAGCTGGGGACGCAAGAAAGATACCCAACCCCACCGATGCTCAGTGTTTCCATTTGGAAGTAAGGATGCCAAAAGTGGCAATATCCTGGAGCAGTTTCAAGGATCAGGGCCCCTCTCCACCTGCACGCACTCCTTGGGTGGGCTCTTTGTGTCCCCTGGCTTTAAATCCCATCCAAAGGGCAATAGCTTACCTCTGAGTTCCAGATTTGCACATCCACCCCCCTCCTTCACCCTTCCCCTTGGATGCCTAAAGGACACTCCCAAGTTAACCCAATCAAAACTCAATCCTTTTTTAAAAAATGTCTTATGTTTATTTTATTTTTGAAAGGGCGGGAGGGTCAGAGAGAGAGGGAGACACAGAATCCGAAGCAGATCCAGGCTCCAAGCTGTCAGCACAGAGCCCGACGTGGGGCTCGAACCCACGAACCGTGAGATCATGACCTGAGCCGAAGTCGGACGCTTAACCGACTGAGCCACCCAGGCGCCCCAAGCGTCTGGCTCTTGATATTGGCTCAGGTCGTGATCTTGAGGTTGTGGGATCAAAACCTGCACCCAGCTTTGTGCTGAGTGTGGAGCCTGCTTGGGATTCTCTTTCCCTCTCTCTATCCCTCCCCCACTCATTCTCTTTCTCTCTCTCTCTCTCTCAAGAAATAAATAAATAAACATTAAAAAAAAAAGTCAGCCTCTAGCTCAGAGTCACCCAAAGGCATCCCTCCACATTAGTGCCAAATGCTAAGTGGGACCATGACCTACAAGGCCGTGTCACCTGGCCTCTGCCCGTCTCCTTCACTCACTGCACTCACTGATGGCCAGATACACTAGCTTTTTCCTTTGAGCACACAAGCACGGTTCTGCCTCAGGACCCTTGCACTTGCTGTTTCCTCTGCCTGGAATGCTTTTCCCCAGATCGTCACATGGCTCATCTCTTCGCATCTCCCTCCCTCAGGGCTCTGGTCAAAAGCTGCCTTCTCAGTGAGATCCTCCCTGTCCACCACGCCATCCCTCTCTGTTCCCCTCATCCACTCTGTTTTTCTCCGTACTACACCATTGCACTCTGGTGTTTTGGCTTTTTCAGGGTTTTGAATTTGTTTTTGTCTGTCTCTTGTCATTAGAATGTAAGCTCCATGAGCCAGCAATTCATGAGTCCCCAGCACCTAGAATAATTCTTCATATGGAGTTGGTGCTCAATCAATATTTGCAAAATTAATAAATGACCAGTCTAAGGAGTCACCGGGTAGATCAGTACCTGGCACGCAGTAAATGCATGGAATCTTAGGTGCTGCTTCCCAAGAACATCAGTCCTCCTGTGGCTGTCATCTGGCCTCACATGTGATGGTGGTCTAACCTTGATGGCTTCCCTGCCACATCCCACCCCACACTTAAACTCTGCACCCTGACCTGTGGGCTCATGAGCAGTCAGTCCTTCAGCCTCCCTGGGCCTCAACCTCCCCCTTCGTAACAAATGAGCTAGGTATAGTTTACGTTTGTACATTCACTATAAGGGACTCCCCAGAAATCTCTCTGCAGCATTTCAGTGCGCTGGGAAGAACCTATGGAGTGTGATTTTGGCTACCACGTACTGGGTGGTTGCCATCAGCCAGGTACTGGGCTGGAGCCATCAGATGTGTTATCTCATTGGCCCTCAGGACGGTACTTCCCACCGGATACTTACTATCCCCTCTCTCTTACAAAGGAAGAAACCGAGACTCGGGGATCTAAAGGGATTTCCCCGGGGTCAGTTCGGGAGCAAGTAACGAGCATCGAGATTTGAACCCCGCTTCCCTTTGAAGCCGGTGGTTAACTCTATTATGCTCTCAACAATCCCATAGGGTAGTAGAATCACTTTACAAACGAGGAAACCAAGGCTCGGAAGGCTTCATAGTAGATTTATCATCGCCATCACCACCACAGTTGCTACTTACTGAATGCTGATTCTACAGGAAGTTCTGCTACAGGCTAACTTTACCTTTAAGGTACACGTTAATGGGACTATTTGACAGACAAAAGAAATCACGTTCAGAGAAACTGAGAATCTGGTCCAGTACATCACACAAGGGATCCCCTCCGTGCAACTGACTTTGCCTTCAGGGGCCCTAGGAGAGGCGGGAGGTACTCACAGCTTGAGCACAGCCGACCTCTTCCCCAACATCATGTTCACAAAGTCACGGTAGGAGATGGTGTCGCTGACCCCACCCGTCACCTCCGAGATCATCTTTTTCATCTCCAGGTGGGTCTTGGGGACCCCGAGCTTCTCCATCATCCTCTTTAAAGACATCAGGTCTGCCGGAGGAAAAAGCAGATCTGCTAAGTGGGGACAGGCTGTGGGGTCAAGTGAGGAAGCTGGTAAAGCTCCCCCTCCCCCCCCTGCCAGCCCCCTCCCGCCCCCACGCCCAGGAAAAGCCCCACAGGACAGCCCCTCCCTGGGGACTGCAGTCAATGCCTTTCTCCTCTGGGGTGAGTGAGCCCATCACACCCTCCCTGCTCTCTTTGGAAATAGGACAGACTTCGAGAGTCCGACAGACTTGGGTTGGAATCCAGCTCTGCTCTTCCTGGCTGTGGGACCTGGGGCAAACTACCCAACCTCTCTGAAACTCCACTCTCATGGGTTGAGGGGATCATTGGGAAGAACGATGCGCGAGAAGGACCCGGCACAAAGCAGGTGTTCGGTAACAGAGCCGCTATTCTTTACTCTGTCGTGTCCGCTGACCCCTCCAAGGTGAGGGTGAGCTTCAGCTCCCCGGGAAGTCACTGCCCAGCACGGTGGGGTCAGGGGGTTGACTTGACCCCAGGCATGGAAAGTCACTCCGTGGGGTGCCCGGTGGCAGCTTCTCTCTACCTGCCACTCCCACCCGGAAGTCCTAGGGTCCCGCCTCCCTGGCAGGGGGAGGATGCCAAAAATATCCTGCAGAGCAGGAAAACAAACAAAAGAATAAAATTCAAGAAAAACAAGGGAGGCACCAAAAAGTCACTGCCCTCTGCAGAATCGCTGCCCTGACCAACCGGCTCCCAAGGTCACAGGCAATTTCCTTCAGATTGTTCTGTGAACAATGGGTTGGCAAAGGATGGAGGGAGAGAGGTGGGGCAGGGGGTCAATGTTAGGGCCAGGGGAGTGGTTCGCCAGCTCACCCCAGGGCAGGCAGGAGGGATGCCAGACCTCTAGGTGCCGGGATGTCCAGGGCATTTCAAAGAACACTGGGCAGCAGTCGGCGGGGAAAAGTGAAAGGTCTCCCACATTCGGCTGCCCAGACTCTGAACTGGCAAGATCTTTCTGGAAGGCAATTTGGCAAGATGCTTCAAAAGCCTTTGACCCAGAATGTCTAATTCCTGAGGTTTACTCTAAAGAAATAATTGGTGATGTGGACAAAAATTTATGTACAAAGATGCTCTTCACAGGATTTTTAAAAGTAGGTAAAATTTGGGGCCCCTGGGTGGCTCAGTCAGTTAAGTGTCCCACTTTGGCTCAGGTCATGATCTCGCGATTTGGGAGTTCGAGCCCGACATCAGGCTCTGTGCTGACAGCTCAGAGCCTGGAGCCTGCTTCCGATTCTGTCTCCCTCTCCCTCTGCCCCTCCCTCACTTGGCCTCTCTCTCCCTCTTTCTCTCAAAAATAAATAGACCTTTTTAAAAAAGTGGTTAAAATTAGAAATTGTCTAAATGGGCAATACTAAGGCATTGGCCGAATAAATTATAGTCCTTTTCCGCAAGAAAATATTATGCAGCCATTAATTATAATTTCAAAAGAAAAGTTAATCATATGTCAAAATACCCACACTATATTATTTTTTGAAAAAATGAGATTGTAAAAGGGGTACAAAATAGCGATTCTAAACTGGTACAAAATAGCATTTGTGATTAGAACAAAGGATGGAAGGATATAAACCAAAAAGTTTATAGCAGTTATTTCTGGGAGGTAGGATTGTAAGTGACCTATTTTTGTCTTTCTATGCTACTAAATTTTCTAAAATTTTTATGATAAAATGCACTCATTTGATAACTCCGAGTGTTTTAAGTTTACTTATTTATTTTGAGAGACAGCACGATCAGGGGAGGGACAGAGAGAGAGGAAGAGAGAGTCCCAAGCAGGCTCCACACTGTCACCGTAGAGCCCGACACAGGACTCCATCTCACAAATCCTGACATCGTGACCTGAGCCAAAACCAAGAGTCAGAGGCTTAACTGACTGAGCCACCCAGGCACCCCTCCCCCCACCTTTTTTTTTCTAAAGAAAATTAAAGGATAAAAACATTTTAAAAAGAGAAGGAGTCTGGGGCGCCTGGGTGGCTTAGTTGATTAAGCATCCGCCTTTCGCTTAGGTCATGATCTCACGGTTCGTGGGTTCGAGCCCCGCGTCAGGCTCTGTGCTGACTGCCAGCTCAGAGCCTGGAGCCTGTTTCAGTCTGTGTCTCCCTCTCTCTCTGACCCTCCCTGCTCACACTGTGTCTCTCTCTCTCTCCTGGAAATAAATAAAAAACATTAAAAAAAATTTTAAAAATAAATAAATAAATAAATAAAAAGAGAAGGAGTCAAGGCAGAGGAGGGGCAGAAACACCAGCCGCAGCAGCAGCAGCACTGAGCTCGGGGCAAAACGGAGGAAGGAAGCCAGTTTGAGAAACAAAGGCTGGGATCTGCACCCTGGGCCTGCCACTTAGCCATCCCATGCCCCAAGCAAGTCAGTCACCCTGCTGGGCCAAAATTTCCTCATCTGTAAAATGGGGCTAAATTGAGCCGGCCTTGACTATGTCATAGCACTACTAGTGAAGGTCAAGATATGGTCTTGGGGGCGCCTGGGCAGCTCAGTCGGTTAAACCTCTGACTTCGGCTCAGGTCATGATCTCACGGTTCATGGGTTCGAGCCCTGTGTCAGGCTCTGTGCTGACAGCTCAGAGCCTGCAGCCTGTTTTGGATTCTGTGTCTCCCTCTCTGTGACCCTGCCATGTTCACGCTCTCTCTCTCTCCCAGAAATAAAACATTAAAAAAAATTTTTTAAAAGACATGGTCTTGAACTTGAGTGCCACAGGACAGGTGTTTGTCACCCCCGACATCTGGGCCTCACAATACAATAAAGATCTGCCGGAGGGCGGGAAGCAAGGCACACGAGAGCATGGTGTCTAATGCAGGACAGTATACAAACTCAAGGGCAAAGGAATGGCCAGCCTCCTGGACCGGGGCGTCCACAGCCTACACATCTCCAGCCCCGGATGGCCATGAAACCCTCTACCCTGGGTCCACACAGCACCTGGCGCAGGAGGCTGAAGCGTGAGCAGGGATGTGGGGGGCGGGGGAGAGCAGCCAGGAGTCGGGGGCAGTGGATCTGGGGTAGAAGGCAGCCAGGCTTAAGGCCAGCTTGTCGGCCTGGCCCACGGGGAAGCTTCCGTGTGTGCCCCTCCCCCACACGTGGGTCAGTGGGGCTCTCTGGACCCTCCTCCCCTCCACCCACCGAACAGCCTCCTCCCCAAGCACACCCGAGGCCCCACTTACCAATCTCACCCTCATTGTTCAGGTCAAACTCCATGTACTTCTCTGGAAATCACAGAGCAAGAGCTGGCATTAGCCAGGGTCACCCCCTGAGGGTCCCAGGGACTCCCCTGAGGGAGCCCACACCATCCACCTCACCCGACTCGGGATCTTGATGGGAGTCCTGTCATCTCAGCCATCGTCTCTGGAGAGAGTGCTCTCCCTGCCTGCACCCCTCTCCCACAGGCGCCACAGAGGAAGGTGCTGGGGGCCACTCTGACCCCCTGCTGAGGGGGACAGCTGCTTCCTCCCGGATCCCCACCAGCCTGCGCTGGCTGCATCTGAATCATACCGGCAACAAACTGACTCGAATAGATTCCCAGAGCCCGAGAGACGGCTCCAGTGGGTTTGGGAAGGGTGGGGAGGGGGTGGGAATTAGTACGGTTTTAGAGCATCTCGGGTGATTCTGATGAGCACTCAGGTGTGGGAACAACCGATTTAAGGCATCCCTGTGGTTCTGAACCTTTTGAGGGGCGGGGTGCTGGGCATCACTGAGAATCTGATGCTCTCCCAAGAGAAACGCCGTGAACCTACCCTTGACCCAAAGTGGCACAAACAGCGTCCGGGGGTACACAGACCCTCCCCGAAACCTCTCCTACAGACCTTGAGTTAAGCCTCCCTGATCAAGAGGTCCCGGTAATCTCCAACAGCAGGGGAGGATACTTGGAGCAATGAGCTTGGTACCTTCTAACAAGGGCAGTGTGTGTCCCTGGGCAGGTCGCCCCCGCCGCAAAAGTGCAGGGCCCTCAGGGTCTCTTTTGCACTGAACAGCCAGCATGAGAAGCCCAAGGTCTTCCTGGAAGGTCCCCGTGACCTTCATGGGCGCCTGCCCTCCAGCCTCTCGGCCGCCTCTCCCTCCCTCACCTCTGCTCCACTCCCACTGGGCCTGCGGCTTCTGGGCCATCCCCACCCCCCCCCCCTGCTGCTCTGCCTGAATGTTCCTCCCAGCCTCAGGGCCCCCCAGCCTTTCTGGTTGGGCAGTGCCACCCCCACGAAGCCCCTACCACCATCTGCGTGCTCTGCCCCGCCTTTCTCTTCACCACACCTTCCCTTGCTAGCCTGTCCTTTGGCCAGGGCTCGAGTGTTCCCCGTTGCAGCCCCAGGCGTACAGGGGTCTGGCACATAGTAGGTGCTCATTTAGAGGTCAAATGAGCGAATGATTTGGAAACCTTCACGGCCCCTTTGCTTCCCAGGTAATTTCCTGGGGTCCCAGTCTGCCCGGATGGACCCCATCCTACAGCCCAATGAAGACAAGGAGAAGAGACCTCTGTCCCTCCTCCCAGAGCCACCTCTGGCTGGTAGCCAGACAGAAGGCACCACACTGCTCCTCCTTTGCGTGGCTCTCTTACGGGCGGCGGGACAGAGCAGTGGAACGGGGTAGGGATGGGCGTGCGTTCGTTCTAGATCTTCGTTTTGTTAACGTGAGAAGCCCCGTTGCACGATGGTTCAGAGCAGGGGCTTTAGAAGGAGACCAGGCCTCGGCAAGCTGTACGACCCCCGCCCAAGCAAGCCCACCTCTCTGAGCACGAGTTTCTTCATCTGTAAATTAAAGCTCGCACCGCCTACCTCCTGGCTGAACTGGGATGAGCTGGGGGGGCTCATAGCACAGCATTCCAAGGGCTTCCCACAAGGTCAGCGCTCCACAAATGCTTCGCCATCAGTGTCCTGCCTACGGACACTGTGACACTGTCACAGCTACGCTGTGAGCAGCTTTGAGCAGCACTAGGCGGGCTCTTGGCCCCGGCGCGGGGAGGGCGCCCACGTTGCCAAGCCTGCGGGGCGGGGGGGAGGGGGAAACGCGGCCTCCAGCGGCCAGGGCTCCCGGCACACCGGGTGCATCTCCCAGGCAGGAAAGGTGGGTCTGTCCCGCTCCTTATGTGCACGGCTCCTCTCCTTTCCAGCCGCTGGCTGGGAACCAAGCGCCAGGGCCCGGAACAGAGGGACCTTTATGCCGCCCCCTCCCCGCGCGGGCTCCCGGGCCCTGTTTTCTTTTCATCCCGTGCTGCTGGGATTCAATGGGCAGAAACTCTGCCCCCTGCCCCACTGTGGCGACACAAACGCCCATTCTGCACAGGGGCTCCCGAGCCGCTCCCCCGCGGAGGGGAAAGGCAAGGGCTGCCACAAAGGGCCGATTGTGTGCTGGGGCCCCGGGAGCGCGCAGGGCCTGGGCAGCGGCGGACAGGAGCCAGCCTGAGCCCTGCCTGCCCGGCAGCTGGGGGGAGAGGGGCCAGGCTGCGCCCGCGGCCGAGGGTCAGGGCCTGGGGCGGCGTGGAGACAGGTGGAGGGGCCTGTGTCCGTGGCCAAGCACCCCGGCTCACGGCCCTCTGGGAAGGGGGCGCCCTGGAAGAAACGGGGGCTCTCCTGGCCCTGTAGGGTGAGGAATCCTATGTGCCAGGGGCCAGCCCAGCTCGCTCAGGAGGGTGGGGCAGACAGCCCCAGCTTACCTTTGAAGGCTGCGAGCTTTTCCGGCAGGTTCTCTTCATCGCTGTACTTCTGGTCACACAGAAACTCCTTGAAAGGCGAAAGGACAGTGCTGAGCACGGGGTCAACGGGCAGAACTCACCGACACGGAGGCCCATCGCCCTGGTGGCTGGTCCCACGCCAGGTGGCCGAGCTTGGCCAAACAGGGCAGGAGGCTCTGGTGTTTGTCTAGGCCGCCCGTCAACCCTCAGAGGCAGATCCGCAGCCCACCCCGTGGGCAGGAAGTATGCTCAGCAGCCTGGGGTGAGGCCAGGGGGTCTACCCTAAACACCTTCAGCCAGCCACTGAACTACCAGCGTGGGGACCTGGGCCTTCCCCACCCAGGGCACCCCAGCTCCAAGAGCCACGAAGCTGCGAGCCCCAAAGGCAAGCTGCCTGGTTCCAGCATTAACGTCTTAGGTATGTGACCCTAGCATATTAATTCCTCTCTGCACCTCAACTGCTTTATCTAACAAACGGGTAGAATTATCATAGCTGCTTCTCCAGTTTGTAAAAGCAGCCAAGAAGAGTGTATGTAGGACTCTGGGCATACAGTAAGTGCTCAATAGACAGCAACTATTATATTAGTCTCTGCTCCAGACTTGGGAGCCCACTTACCTTCTCATCTGTGTCCTCACCTGTAAAATGGCTACTGTCCCCTCAAATGATGCCTTTCAGAACCAGGTGTGGGGGAGGGGCAGGCATGGGGGGGGTGGGGGGCGGACACTAACATCAGCCTCCAGAAGGAAACACCAACCTGCATGATCTCTTAGGATCTCTCAGTGGGCCCAAAAGTTAGCTACTATTATTATTCCCATTTTCCAGATGAAGAAACTGAGGTTCACACAGCCAGAGCTTCAAGTTAATTTCATCTCATGAACAGCCTGCACCCTTAACCCCAACACCTAAAGATGGGCAGACGACAGGCACTCATCTGGCTTTAAAACAAAACACTACAGAGGCGCCTGGGTGGCTCAGCTGGTTAAGCGTCTGACTTCAGCTCAGGTCATGATCTCGCAGTTTGTGAGTTCAAGCCCCAGGTCAGGCTCTGTGCTGACAGCTTGGAGCCTAGAGCTTGCTTCAGATTCTGTGTCTTCCTCTCTCTCTGCCCCCTGCTTGCTCATGCTCTGTCTCTCTCTGTCTCTCAATAATAAACTTTAAAAAAAAACAAAAAACACTACAAATTAGTAAGTACCTGTTAGGCCGGGCACGGTGCCAGGTAGCTTACTTGACTAGCTCATCTTCCGGCAGCCCTAGAGCCCATATTCAGATGGGAAAGCAGGGGTCATGCTCCCATCCTAGCACTAGACTCTGTAAATCCCCTCTCTTCTCTGGACCTCACTTTCCTCGTTACTGAGCAGACTGGACATGGGCATTGCGCCTCCGCTCATTTAAGGGACCACATGGTACACAGCTCTGTTCGAAGCATCGAGAGACCAGGTGAGACCAAGGAAATGGGTCCTTATCATTAAATTACAGGAAACTCATGTTTAAAATGATGTTAAATGGGGCACCTGGGTGGCTCAGTTGGTTAAGCATCGTAACTTCGGCTCAGGTCATGATCTCGCGGTTTATGAGTTCGAGCCCTGCATCGGGCTCTCTGCTGTCTGTCCCTCTCTCTCTCTCTGTCCCTCCCCTGTTCATTCCCCCCCATAAATAAATGAACTTAAAATAAATAAAATGATGTTAAATATTTCTAGATCAATCACTCGATCTGTTTATAAATTCCTGATGCCATGTCCCACTAACTGATGGCCAAGTCTGTACTTAAATACCTCCTAGGACATGAGACTTTCCAGTCTGTCGTGTGAACCCCCCAAGAGGTTTAGTGTAGAATAGGTGAATGAGAAGAACCTGGGTGATGATAAAGCACTCTGGGTTTGGATCTCAGTCCCCTCCTCACTAGCTGTGAAATGGGTACAAGGGTACCCATCTCCTTGGTCATCCGTCCCTCAACAGGGATAACCCATTGTGAGCACTTAGTACCAGAGTTGAACATCAGTGCTCAAGAAGCAACAGGTATGACCGAGCATCGGGCAGAATATGACTCCTTCCAGGGGTCAAATTCCTCTGCATTAACTCAGCCCCTTTGACAGAGGAGGTACCCACCTGCCAGTGTGGCCCCCTTCGTTGGTTCTGGGGGCTGTCCTACCCCTTCAGCTCAATTTGGGATCCCTAGATGGGGTTAGTACATACTCGGGACAGGCTGGGCTGGGGCGGGATTTCTGCTTTGGGCAGGCACTGTGCGATCTCACTGAGGTGCAAACAGCAGGGCCAGAGAGGTTAAAAGTCATGTCCAAAGTCTCTGCAGTTCGGAAGCACAGGCTTGGTTTGGATCCTGAGTTTGTTGGACCCTGGGGTCCATGCCTCCAGCAGCCTCGCAGAGGGCAACCCCAGGGCCCATGGTGTGGACTGGCCACGGCTTCACACGGACCTCGGTGCCAGGTGCCACGCGCGGTCCTGTCCCCACTTAGCTACAAGTGTCCCCTGCAGCCTGGGAGCACCCCCCCCACTCCTGGCTGGCTTAGCCCAGGACTTCTCTTCCTCTTGGCTCCCTCTCCTAGCTCCGTTCCACTGCTCTTTTCCCCAGCCCCATTCTCCGCCCAAAAGTAGGACAATTAACTCTTGTCTGTGACCCTGAACAAACCAGGCGCCTCCCAGGGCCACAGGTCCTATCATCTGCCCGGCAGAGGGACAAATAGGTCAGTGGTTCCCAGACTTGGGGATAATGCAGAAGAAAACATTCCCCCCAAAAAAGTTAAATATAAGGGGAGGTGCTAATACAGAGCGGCCAAGGTTTTATTTTACCAAGTAGAGACCTTAAACAATCCCCACTGACTGTGGCCATGAGTTCAGGAAAGGACATCTCGTAAAAGTAGGAAGTTCATAATCGCGGAATTTTAAAACGGAACCCATTTAGCCTCCGGTCGATTCACAGCCTTGCCCCTGTGATCCCTCCACTTCACTGTTTCAGGAACTGGAAAACCTTCGCGGGGAAGCACAAGGGCACGGGCAACGCCCAACATCTGGGAGCCCCTGGCGAGAGACCTGGGGGCTCTCCCAGCTCCCACATTCTGGTGGACCCGAAATCCTGCACCAGCCAGAGCCTGTCCGTAACGTGTACCAACCCCCTCTAGGGATCCAGGCAAATTGGGCTCAAGGGGTCGGACATGGGCCCTGGTCTTGGAGACAAAGCACACGCAGACGAACCCAGGACAAGCTGGCAGCAATTCACGTTCACGAGGCCTGACCCTGAGCTGGCAGGTGCAGCTGCTCTGGGCGTCCAGATTATTGTCTTGGTCCTGATGGAGCCGGTTTTCTCCTTGGTGTTTATGACCCCGCGACACACTGTCCAATGGTGTTCTCCCCCTATTTCCCCCCCCCAACTGTTAGAGCGAGTGCCTCCCCCATGCCAGGCTTGCTCCCACCTCAGGACCTTTGCTCTAGCTGCGCCACTGCCTGCAGCTCTCATCCGCCCACATCCGCACGGCTCTCTCCCTCACAACTTTCACCTTCCCAAGGAAGCAAATCCCATGCATCCTGTCCACCGTGGTCCCCAGCCTCCACGCTCAACCCACTTTTATCTTCCCGTGCATCTCCTCTTATCCCCCCGGATGAACCGCCACCTAACACACTTTACAAGGTAACGCCTATGAAGGGCGTTAACCCGTGTCTGTCTCCTCCTGCTACGATGTAAGTGTCACGTAATAGGTGCTCAATAAATATTTGCGGGCTGAGTGAATGAATGGAGACCCCGCGAGGATAAATAACTTGCTCAAAGCAGCACAGCCGGCAAGTGCCTGATCCGGGATTAAAGTCCGCAGTGGGGACTGTCTGGGCTCTTTCTCTGCAGAGCTGAGGAATCGAAGCAACCCAAGGAAGTGGGTGCTGGAAAGAGGCCGGGAGGGGGTGAGCCTTTGGCCAGAGGTCCCTGGAGGACGTCTTTACCGTCTCACGCCCCACAGATGCCTAGCACCCAGCAGTGCCCGGCATATAGTAGGTGCTTAGGAAACATCTGTTGAATGAATGGAGAAGCTTGGCATTCAGCCCAGAATCACTTTCTCCGCTTGGCAGAGCAGCTTGCGAATGCGTGTGTGTGAGTGATAGAGGCTGGAGGGGCTCAGAGATTGGAACTCCGTGTTTCTTTAGAGCCAGAAATGACAAGTGCTTCGAGCCACAGAGTGGCCAGGGCTGGGGCAGGCAGCTGACCCGTTCACGCGTGGGCGGGCAGCCTCTGCCTGGGGCAGCTGCGAGGACCATGCCCTCGGCAGGGCGCCAGGAGAGGACGCAGGTGGGCAGCAGAAAAAGGAGTCCCATTGGTGGGTCTTCCAGCTTCCACCCCAGCGCCAAGCTTTGGATTCTTAGTTCCCGGTCAGGCGCAGCCCACAGCCTCCCCACCTCCAGGCACCCTCCCTTTGTATCAGGCACCCTGTGTGTCCACACTCCAGGCCCGCGCCCACCCCGCCTCCCCACCCCCCACCCCCGACCACCACTACCCTGACTCTGAGTCCCCAGGCAGAGGAGAAAGACACAGAAGCCACCGCAGATGTTGAGCACAAAAGCGAAAGAAGAAACAGAGGGCAAGCTGGAGCCGGAATGCCTGGGATCGAATCGCTTAGTAGCTGTGTGAAAACTACTTCATTTGTGCCGCGGTTTCTTCATCTGTAGGAAGGATAAGACGGTCTCATAGGCTTGTTCCGGGGGTTGCAATATATAAGCAAATACATGTAAAGTGCTTCTACAGTGCCTGGCACCTAAATTACCATTTAGTAATTACTAAATGAACGTTAGCTATTTATTATTGTGATCTTCCAATATTTATATCCGTACAATCCACTTCTAACCCCCACAGCTCATCATCCAGACAATCGGCTATTAAATAGACGAGGAGGCAAACCCCCTCCCCACCGACTTGGGCCGGTTATGGTTGGTTTCTCTTTCCCTTTTCTGGATATTCCCATTGGATAGATCGGATAACTAAGGCCCAGGGAGGTTGCTCGACTTGCTCAAGGTGACAGAGTTTTAACCATTCAAGCAAAGTCTGTTGACCT